CATTTCGGTGATTCCTGCTAATGTTTTTGTATCCATAATAATTTCTTTCACATTGTCAGCATCATGGGGAACCCGTCTTTAGCCCCGACATGTAAGCTAGTACGGAGTAGATTTATCCCGAGTTAAAGAGCCCATCTTAAGAAGAAAGGGAATTGTGGATGCCTCCTCGAAACTAATTCTAAAGATCCGAGAAGTGAAGAGGCTACAACGTGCCAGGTCTTGAAGCCCGGTCTAGGTACTCTACCCTCGGAATGGACAAAGAACTCTCTTGTCTTTTTATAGCGGTCACCTGTTGTGTCCTGAAACGGTGGTCATTTAGTAGAAGAAACCAAACGGTCGTCTGTGTACTTCAGTGAACTAAGTTCTCTGTTATATGTCTGTGCGTTGGGCGCGTCAGTGAAACACGAAGGGAGGCGAGCATCACGCGCCCTCGCTGTCTTGCTCATTTCGACCACATCTAAGAATTTAAGGTGTATTTTTACACTTGTCACTGTCGTTAATATTGTTAGATGTATGTCATTGGCTCAACAAATGGTGTCATTCAGATGTTTACTGCAACTACTCAATAATATCTAAAACAGCAACACGAAACGTTGTATTAAGGCACAAAGCACCTGCGCGATTGTAACGGAGAAAGCTGGCTTCATAGCCACATTTGCTTGATGGTGGGCTTAAAAGCATAAAAGTCTCCCACCGCCGCCAGATTTGACATCAAGCTACGTCAATAATTAACCGAATTCATATTTTAAATGATATACTATAGGTAGATAGTAAAAATATTTGTAAAGAGTTAGTTCCATGCAGTCAAACAAATGGGTTGCCTTCGAAAAAAACGCCATTGATGACCTAGCGTTGTTCACCTATTGATGGAGTCCCAACTTATGAACACCTAACCGGATAAAAAAACTTAAAAACCCGGGTTTAAGTCTACTAAATCTTGAGTAAAGACAACCTGACTGTGGATAACCAACCACAGTGTTTAGCTGACTAGTCATCTGTCCTCAGTGAGGGTCCGACAGAAAGTCATTTGATTTGAAAGTGACCAGATTATATGTTACAGGTGTGATCGGATCCGAAAATACGGGGCAAAGCCAGTCCTCTTCCTTGTGATCAGCTACATTAGTGCCCTAGTGAGGAATCCAAGTTAAACTTGGTTCGATTGTTTTTTTGGATCCGCATTGATTCTATGGGACCTTTCCAAATTATGCTTTCGAAAAACTTGGCGGTATCCTCGGGTATACCGGAATCTTTCGACCAAACTTTGATTGGACAACTTGATAACTGATGAAATGTCACTGATCCCATCTGTTGAAAGTGACAGTCAACTGCGACAATCTGTGTGAAGCTGGTTTGGTGTTTGTATGACATTTGAGTAATATAAAGTTAGTACTGCAAGCTAGTAAACAAGAGTGTCAAACCACTGAGCGGTAGAAAATAAGGTTTCTGGGGAATATCCTTGAAGTTTTTTCATAACCCCGTACTCCTGAATGTCCCTTTTGCCTGAAGAGGCCAATTTCGATTGGTCATCTCGGGTAGACGATTGCAAGCCGGTTAATCTCGAATAAGATTCTCCAAACAAGATGCTTTATTATCTGGATGTTTTGCGGAGACAGTGCTGAGTACGAGGACATAGGTGGTTGTCGAGTCATCGTGCGCTGTTCAATTTAAGTTTTTTTTTACCCTCTATTATTGGTTTCAAAACTGTCAAATGCTTCATCACATCAAAATTTCTAACCAAATCAAACGGTGTTTAGATAAGGAGAATTAATTATTGTGGTGGAGTTTCGTGTCCATTGAGCATTTGAAGCTACATGCCATACCTATATCGAGGTCAAATGAAATTGCTGATTTTGTGCAACAAAAGGTGTCAATACTTTGTTTGTGCGCGTCCAAGACCGTAGATCAAAATGTACTAAGATCACCATCTAGTGGTGCTGCAGCCACCACCATCTTAGAAATCCCATCACCATTGTGGTGATCGGAACTCTGCCGTTGGGAAGTAAATCACCCAACTATATCCCTTCTCCAGTTAGGAGTTCGGTTTCCTCAGAAGAGGTCTGCAATGCGTTCCACAGACGGCCCTTGTTTGAGAAAAACACTACTCTTAACAGGTATATTCTTAACCCAGAATCCTCGGGAATAACAGGGCTTCCAATACTATTGTCTGTCATTCTCAGATCAACTGAGACAACCTTGAACAAGATACTAGTTTAAAATCAAACCGAGTCTTTTCCTTGCACTAAATTTCCAGAGCAGGCTAGATGGTTATATTTCATCAAGCGATACATCAGACTGGCCTGTTGGATGGCCGGCTTTTTCACATAGCTGTGTATCAAATCAGTGTTGTTCATTCTGAACGCGCATATAATGAAACAAATCAGACCTGGATTCATGGACGAATGAGTTGGCCGTGATTCATCCTATATCTTTACTCCGGTCGGTCTAGGTGTATCACCCCTCTTTGGATTCACATAAAATTAGCTTTGATTTGCGGGTCTTGAGCACATTTAGTTTGACGAAGATGTGATCGTTTCCTCACCTGAGGTCAGATAACCCTCGATTCTAAATGTCCGCGCGAGAACTGTATAATGTAACCTATGATAATGCTTATTCGACGCGCAGAATGGACAGTCCGTTCCACTGGCGCGTGTGGTAGAGCGGAGGACTTTGTACCCTCGATGATGAAGGAGGGATCCATAGAAAACTTCATTTATCTCACAAGTCTGCAAGTTCTCTTTGACTTACCACCAAAATCGATAATTTTCTCGTTTCTAACGATGTTTTCGGTTTTTGTATGCCAGTGATCAAAGTACTTAGTCTCACGGTTCTGCCACATACCGGTTATTCTGTTCGATCAATATGCATACTCCACGACGAAGCTCAAGGTACATTTTAGCGAAGCCTAGAGTCATAACCGATTAAGCCTCTTAAAAACAGTGATGAGTATTGATAGCAAACAATTTCTTACCTTCCAGGGGCAGCTTTCGCTCAAAGTATTTCGGGTGGATTGAGTACAGCGGTGGCTGTTTTCTGCCACGAACTCCCTCATGAACTAGGTATGTGACTCTGCCTATAATGACTTAACTTTAAAAACTCTTCTTGTACATCTGGTTCTGTTTATTACGTTGCTTCTAAAAACTAATAGCCGATATCATTCCCCTACAAGAAAGCATTCGATGTTTATTACGGACTACAGGATTCCCAAATCAAAACAAGCGGTTCCGACAGTGTGGCTAACTGACTTTAGCAAAGACAGTATGATGAAATGTACCCCTTTTCTACTCACACTCCAACACAGTAGAACTCAGAAGCGTATTTTTTTGCTGTTTCAATTGTGATCTCTGTCCCGCACGATGAAGAACGTTTTCGAAACGAATCCAACCACTCATGTTCACGTCTTTACAGGTGCGCCACCGTTAATTTTTGACACGTAGCACAGTGAATTAGGAGAAGAAGGAGAACATACCAACATTATTAGATTTTTCTTCTCAGTTTATCAACATGCTATTCAATCTTCTCTGCTCATCGTCACAAGGTTGCAATTTCGAAAGCTACCGGGATGCACCCGTGTTGGCATCAGCCTGTTGGCGTTTTCAGATGGATCGAAATATTCAGATAATCTGCTTTGATCCACTTTTTCAAACCTTTTAGGATTTTCTAGTTATTTCTATTCGTTTTTTTTTCGTTAAATTTTCCGTAGTTTACCATTTACTGCACTTTGTTACAAACATCGCATATCGGCATAATTTTATCGTTACCGCAGTCATCATTAATTATTGCGTGCCACTTTCTGGAGAGCACAGGAAAGACACTGCCAACCAGATTTGTAAACGTACTGATCACTGTGAAAATACGCACCGATTACGATTAATAACGTGCTTGTCACCGGTGTATGATACTTGCAGTAGGTCTGTGATGTTTTCTGATAAAAAGGGCACTAACAAAAGTTTTAAGTAAGCAAGACGCGGAACATAGATAGCCATTGATAAAAATTATCTTCCGAGCTATGTAACAACACCAACAAAGAGAGAGTCTAATCATTAAATGAATTTATTCTATTGAGCGACGATAGCAGCGGTAGGTGGTCAGCTAACGAAGGGAAGCTCACAAGTACAAGTTGTTAATATTAGATAACTTTGTTCAGGGTGAGTTCAAGGATGGTTATATCAAGCAACACCCTACCAAGGGGCAGGCGGTTGATCAGTCTCTCTTTACTGAGGTGCGATGGTGCTTGCTTGAGTTAGACCAGAGGTTTGGTTTTGTTTTGCAGAGAACTCAGTCGTCTTGGGTAACAGAAAACTGTCCACTATTGTATGACACTCAATGTAATGAAGTATAATTTTCAACCTACGTAGCCTTCGTCCTCCTACAGACAGCCAAACACAAACCTCAGCAGAATAAGCATCCTTTAGTGCACTACTTTAATATTTGAGGATTTAGCACACATGTGAGTGTCACACTGCAGACTAAGCGTCCTCGACCATGCCATAGGAAAATTGTGCGTATCCGGAAGACAGTATTCAAGTAGGCAAAATTCCTTTTTTGCCTGCTATTTACATCTATTTTAGCCCAACTTTGCTACTGTTTTGCTTACGAAGGGATTCTTCATGCAGAAAATTGACGGGCGAGGTCGGACAAAGATTATCTGCTTGTTCGTGTTAGAAAGGCGTGAATTCTGCCAGAAAATTGTTATCAGACCGCGGTTGTGGCATACTTTGCTGTTAGCAACACAGCTGATTGCCTCTTACCAAAACCATCATCAGTCACTCTCGGAAATGAGTTACACAAATTTAGAAAACCTGGATAACGCAGTCGGCCTTTCTGACTCTACTGACACGCATCAACGAATTTTGCGGCAGCAAAAACCTAGACATTCAGAGGAGACAGAAAATAGGCAAGCGTTTAGGGCAAAACAAGTGTATTTGTTTACTCCATAGAAGTAATATTCGGATTAGAAACAATGCGTTTGGCTGATTTTCGAATAGACCACACAAAGCCTGAAATTTGATCCTGCCTCGTTGCAGCAGAACATAAACCCAACCATAATCGATTCTTCACGTGCACGGCGTCATCGAACAGTTTGGTAAGAAAGCTAGAACTGATAACCATCACTAGCAAATGCCAAAGGACTGAGAAAGGGGTCACAAATTGGAGCAAAAAACCCATCTAGTAGCAGGTGGGTGCCGACTATTCCGTCAGTTTGAAAGCAACACACAAGTACAAGGAAGCGCTCGACAACCGCATTCATTTTTGTAGGTGGTAGGGAAAATCTGAAATTTCAATATGGAATTTCACACAAGTGAAGCCAACGTGTGTCCTTGTAACTGTGCATTACTGTTGCAATCATCATAGTGTATCTCACAAATATCCAGAGTGAACGATACCGTTTTTTTGCGCGTGGTTGACCAAGAATATGATGAGTCTGTAATTAAACAGAATGTAACACTTATTAGATGACCGTTTGTGGTTGGGTGAATCACTGGGATATTTGACATAATATTTGCGAACAGATTACCTATAGTTTGCAGTCTGCGAAAGTATTTTGGAATTTAAATGTGGACTTCGTTTTTCATTTCCAATAACGCCAATAAATCGAAAAGCAATATGAAACTTATATATTCAAGTTGGGAGGTAACAGTCTTACGAATCACAGTTTCGTCCTGAACACTATGCAGTCTCTTGGCACACAAACCTCTGTTAAATAGTGGTAGTATGTGAAGTGGGTTAAAAATTTCAAATACCCTTAATCAGCTGAAGGTTTTTTTGAACAGGAAATTTATTTTTCCAAGCGGGTTCAAAGTATCTATTAGATTTACAATAGATGTGTGCTAAAAGTTTTACACCTTGCAACGTTTTATGATTTTCCTGTCTAGGCGACTTTGCTGTTTTGCTGAAAACCGGAATGCGTATCAAAGAAGCTCTGTTTTTCAATGTGGTGTCCTCCGTACTTTCGCTGTTTGGCATGCTGATTGGAATCGCCGTGGGCAATGTGGCTTCTGCAAGCTATTGGATTTTTGCCGTGACCGCTGGAACCTTCATCTACATCGCTTTGGTAGACATGGTACGTCATTCTCATCTTTACTATTGAGTCAAGCATGTTTTTGTTCTTAAAAACTCAAGAGTTCTAGGATGGAGACGAGTTTTAACCGATTAATAGTCCTAATTGGGGTCGAGAATAAGCTACCGTTTTATGTCACAGATATTATTGTAGCGCCCTTCACAAAGTGAGTACAGTGGGATATCAACGAATCGATTACGACTTCGAACCACTAACTTTGAATGTATTAGAGCGGTGAGCAGGTAAGACAACACGGAGCACATAAAATCAATCACGGCTTCAGTTCCTTTAACAATGTCCAGAGCATTTTAGTACACATGACTCCGTTTTTACGTACGACGGATTGATTGAGAGCTCAATCAACGGCGAAATTTTCCAAAATGTCAACACAACTCCTTACTTCTGATTGCGTGTAGTGCTCTTAAGGTCGGAACTGCGCTTCCCTCTGACTTCATCAGTGTCTTTTCTAGGGTGCCACGAAGAGTTTAATGTGACATTCTTCCCTGAAACTGACTTAATAAATAAGGTATAATTGGTATAAATAGATGCCAATGATTAATCAATAATTTAGCGTGATTTAGTGAAGCTTGTAATGTACAATAGAGACTTCGTCTTGTCAGTCAAACCAATCCATGCTGAAAGGCCGAGAAGCATTGTGCGCCTATTTCATTCTTATTGGGAATCATCAGCGATACACGTCTTACAAAACTCGGAGTTTCGCACCCGTGGCCTTCCGGCCAGTTGTTGAACACTTGACCGTTTGACCTCAATCGACAGTTCAGCAGTGTGACTGGCTGTCCATTAGAACAGGATTTGGCGACATCATGCTTCCTTCACGGAAACCACATTACTTGTTCACCTACTGAGTTACTCTGGTTTTTCTTGCGTCATCTAGAAAAGTTTTCTAAAGTACCATTAGAGCTTTGTCCTCGTCGTAGTCCAAGTACGAAATCTCTAAGAAAAGTCGAAATTCCGTGGAATTTTTTTCTAATTTAGGTATTTTGGTCGTTTATGATTCATGGTACGTATTGGTGAGCAAACAAACCGGTGAGGTAAGGTCTAGTCGGGTTCTTGTGTCAGTTATGGATCATGCTAACAAACGTTTAAATTTTGAACAACAATAAGCAAGACGTCAGACGAATTTTTGTTATAAGTATGCGAAAAAAAGCCGTTCAGAGGTGCGGCGGGATCCTTGTTTTTGTCTAGAAGAGGAGAATCTGATCCTGGACTTATCTTACGGACTTGGTCTGAGTGAGTGAGCCTGCCTTAGTGGTAGCGGTGTGAAATACAGTTATTTGATCCCCGATATTAGGAAACACCTGCCGTTGGACAACACCATATATAAAGCGTCATTTCCCAAAACAGAAATTTCGTGGCTTTGACTGTAACTTATCGTCTGTCAACATAGTGGCTTACAGAAACCTCCAATTCGATAAAAGATGACACGGTCGTTTGACGCAAGTCATCTGAGTTCCCCTTGTTGATGGTTTATTGCCCATCACTCGACTAAAAGTCTCTGAGCTGGACCATGAATGGTCTCAATTATCCGAGGTGCAGCGTAGCGATGCTAGGGTCATCATCATCATCGACATCATGACATCAGTGTTCAACACCGATGCTTCATTGCCGTACAACCATGACTTATTTGAAAGCCTTATTGTAAAGAAAAGAATAAAGGTGGA